CGGAGGCGTTCCATACTCAAACGAAACGGCTGTTCAGAGCTTCCATGTTTCCAATTATGATCTGACTTCAACCAGTTCATGATATCAATGAAATTCAGGAATCTCCACAACCTAATACTAATAATATGATTCAAGTAAAATTTCATACTGTAATAGATTATCTAAAATTCAAACAATTATGAAATGATAAGTGAATAACTGTTGATCTTACTAATTTCACATAAATATTGCTAGAGAGATACCTCAATGATTAAAAAGATTGGTTTAGAGTTGTTAGATTACAGATATAAATCCTGCCAAGATTTCAATGATTTTGAAAGCCGATTATTATTTTTATTCACCTGAAACTTGTGATTAAAGTTGATAAAGTAGTATAAGCAAAGATGGACAGTGGCTAGCAGTGGAATACAGGAAGCATGTTTCGTCCCATTTGAGACTCGTCATCTGGATGTACCTGCATCTCAGAGTTGATGTTCATTCCGGGACTCTATCCCAGTACTGTTTGCTTCAAACACCATCACGTTATCTACTCAGCTACTGAGTCGTGATAGTCACTTGCTTGTGCAATGGGATGAAGCTTAAATTCACTTGGTATTGTTTGGTTGAATCTTCCCATTGACGTTCAGGACTACAATTGATGAGTCTCTTATTGACATATGTGCATACTGTGCGTATTACCTCGATATAATCTTAATTCACAAGCATTATAACCAAAGATGAATAGTGACTAGCAGTGGAATCCAGTTTGATGCGCGTTTTGTCCTATTTGGGACTCGTCATATGGCCAATAAGAGACTGACCAGTTGCAGTTCTAAGCATGAATAGGAAGATTAAAACAAACAATACTAAGTGAATTGCTAAAGTAGGTTTTATTCAACAATCAAATGTAGTCCATGTACTCCAAAACTTACAAATTCTAAAAGGTTAAACGCCTAAAATGATACAAATTCATAAACAAGACCAATACATCTCTCTTAGCATTACTTAGTTGACTGTGGTTCTTCAAATGATATAAATATACCGTGACAATTGATTTTTTTTTTTTAGGAGAACAACGCTTCCCGAAACTTCCATTTAAATATAATGAACTGGGATTTTTTATTTATAAACTAATCAATCAAACACACATAAAAAGATTATATAATAATAACAAATAATAGTAATAATAGATCAATAAATATGTTCACAATTAAGTTTCATTTCAAAATTAGTTAATTCAAACAAAGAAACCGAGAAGAACAACTGTTAAATTTTTACCAAAAAAATCTAGAAAATGAAGACCATAAAAGGTTATGGAAGGGTTGACTAATCTTATTCAATTATATATACATATAGCTAACTTGATAGATAAGATCGTCGAACTATGATCTGATAATTCTTTGTCAACAAAGCGGCTATACTATTTTATAACAATTTTTTTCAATCATAAAAAAAGTCTTTACACGATTCACTTAACCCTATTTAATTAATTGCGTGCAAGAATTTGGCGTGATGATGATAATGATAATAATGATTGTAAATAGGCTAATGACTGATAGCATTTGTGATGATGATGGTGGTGGTGTCAGTCACATTAACAGTAATAATAATAATGACGATGGTAATGATGATAATGAGAAAGACAGTTGTAATGAACCCATAAATAAAGATTAAATCCAAAGAACCTAAATTGAAAATCACGAAAAAAGAAATACTGTTACATTGATCGGTTTTGTAACAAAAATTTAACTAGTTAAGACTAACCAATTTGATTAGTGATAGGATACAATAAAAGATTGAAGCAAACACATTTTATTTGTCAAATTTTAATAAATAATAATCAAATATGGGAGAAAAAAGATTGAACAAACCAAAAGAAAAAGACAGTTTCTTTTTCTTTTTCATGTTATAGACATGAAATGATAAGTAGTATATTTAATTCAATGATAGTAAACAATCCATTGTTTAGTAGCAGGTCACTAGTGTGTACATTTAAGTGAGAGGAAGAAAGGAAGAAAATGAAGGAGAAATAAAAATTCAAATCATCCATTTGAATAGACAGTTAATTAGTTCTACTTGGCTTAAATATATATGATCTAAAGTTGATAAAGTTTAGAATAAAGATGAAAGCATCATGTCAGCAATTGATTAGAATTTTTTTTTTAAACGTATAGGTAACTGGACTTAGATAAAGTCGTTTCTTATTACGTACTTATCATAATCAAGCTTAAACATTTTCTTTTTGTTATCTTACAACAATATTAGGCTAATGTATACACAGATTTACAGAGTTCAATAAGGCAAACAAAATTTTGTAAATAATTTAGGTAAACAACAAAAATAACTAATTTTCTAGTATAAAGAATTCGATGATATTAATTAATTAATTTTTGTATTCATTAGTCCCTAAAATATCAGTTTAGTTTACTCAGAATCATTCTTAAATTGTATTGCTTAAAAAAACTATATCATCTAGGTTTAAATATCATCTGTACAGGGATTTGTGAAGATTGTAGTATTTTGATAGTTGAATTCACGAGTCAATATAGGCTAGATCACCGTTGAAATCCACTGAAAACTGTCCGGTACCTCTAGGTTTTCGGTAGTGATCTAGCTTAGATCGACTCGTGAATTCAACTATCAAAATATTACAATCTCCACAAATCCCAAAACTGATAATGATCATGTGCTGACTAGTGACTAACTTCAAAATGAATTTCCTGGAGTTGAAGTGAGAAGCCGTGGTCAGTGGAGTTCAATTCGTGAAGACAATTATCCACCTCGAACAATGGATCAAAGGTTGAGCAAAATCATGGATCGGTTAAAGTTATACATTAACACCGTTGGGTCCCACCTCAGTGGTCTAGAGGTATAGCGTTCGCGCACAAGTCCAAAAACATGAAGCTCAAGTCTCACTTGCGGGATTATGGATGCGCACTGATGAGAAGTGCCATACTAAGATAAAATGGTTATCAAGTGCTTCCAGGTTTCCAATGGTGGCTTAGCTTAAATGGACTCGTGAATTCAACTGTTTTCTTGTCAGTATATGTGTGAACGAAGAATTATTGAATATCACCTCTATTTTAGGTTACCAGTTTTATGGGTCAATTTTATTAGTATCTTCAAGTAGGTCATAATTATTCACATAATAAAAATGATTATTTTTGCCCTATTATTACTTTCATTAAACACATGTACTAAGTTAAAATAACTAAGATCATTTTCTTTAGAAATTATGACTAGAACACAATTGACCTTGTGGATCGGAACCTTAAATTAAAGCATAAATTGTGAGTTCATGTGAAATAATTGTACTAAAACTCCAGTATCTGTAGATTACAAATTTTGATGCATCATAACTATATTTAGTGATAACGACCTCGTATGAAGTTTGTATCAGCAAGCGTAAAAACAGAATTTTTTTCAATGAAAAAGAAAGCAATTTAGAATGATCCATTTTGGTCATTGGTTGTTAAAGTTTATAAATGATAATTTACTGATTAGAAAATCTTAGTATCCAGACTGTACATTCGTAGTTTCCTCTGTTTTACAAATATCTATATACATATAATATTCCCGATTTCAACATAGTTTCAAAGTTTTTCTCTAGTTTATTATCAAAAGTCCTGATGAGAGTGATGATGGAAAGTATAAAATAGGTTATTCGAGTAGGGACGACTTTCAAGTTGTTTCTAAATAAACTTCAACTAGTGTACATGAAATAACAAAGCCAAAGTCCAAATATTTAGGCGAATGAACGGTTTCGACTTCATGAAGAAAACTGTGAACTGGTCAAGTGGATAACGAGTTGTTGTATGGAGTAATGTTTACTGGGTTCGATTCCCAATGTGAACAATATTAACATTTTGTTGACTGATTTCAAAATAGAAGTGAATATCATAGGTCTTACTGATAGCTGCATTCTGAATATTTTAACTTCGAACGGATTCAATCTGAACAAAGTTTTCATTCATGACTGATATCAGCCCTAGAATTGATAATGAGAAGAGAACTTTAAACAACTTTTTCATTTTATTGACTATCGTAACCAATGGTTGGAGACTTTAGGTGACATGGCTCAGAATCGATCACAATGGTGCAGGTGTATACACTCTTTATCTTCCCTTAAACCTTGAGATTAAAATTGCTTCATATCTCTCTTCCTTCCTGTACTATATCCTTATATACAACCTATAATTTATATACTACCACCACCACTAAATAAACTACTTCTATGAATCCGGTGTTGATCTTGTTGTGCTAACGAGGTATGGCAACTTGGACCGATGCATAAATGTGCCTGGTCCTACGTTGTAGCTGACTGACTGACTTTATCCTTAAAGCACCTTATCACTACTTACTTACAACACCCTTTCCGTTGCTTATGACAAGCTTGATCTTTCTCTATATTATTTGGTCCGTATATAATAATCTGAATTCTAAATCTTATTCAACTCTCACCGTACAGCGGTGATCAAAATGAATCTGAATTATATTATTTTACATTAATCCTGATTAACTTATAGTTTCACTTGTATAATTCATTAGTAAATAAATATGAAATTTAATAGAATCAATTATCTATTATACTAGTCACTATGACAATTAATCAATTGAGTATGACAATTTGTTTATTTTTTTGTTAAATAGACAAATGAGCTTTGTATAAATATTATATATATATATGTATATATATTACTGAAAAAGAAAATTATAAAAGTACACAAGGAACACAAGTGAAATAATAAAGCATTTTGAGATTAGTACATTGTCACTATATTTCTAATGAATGTGACTTGTGTATAAGTAATAGAATCTAGACTTGACATTGAATATCATTGATAGTAAATATTGATAAAATTAACATACATAAGGAAGAAGAATAAGAAGGGATTTCATAATGAATGACTATAGATTAACTAGAGGTTAAATTAATGTTTATATGATGTAACAAATAACGATTGAAATGAATGGTATTACAATCATATATGAGGTGTTTATAACTGGGTTTTTATTTTCTTCTTTTAATAAAATAAATGGTGAATTATTAAATGATTCGTTAGTGATTATTTCTTTTATATAATACGTGTTAAAAGATTTGTAGCAACTGCATTTAATGCTGCAATTATTTTACTTTGATCTGAATCATCTTTTATAATTCGACGATGTACTTCAAGTAGATTTGATAAATCTGATGAATCGATATTACCAAGATTTTTATTTAAAGTTTGATTAAACAGAATTGTTTCTAAGTTAGATAATCGATTATCAGTGTTTGATTCAGCAAACGTTGGATTTGAGTATGAATTGATATTGATTCCTGTTGACAGATAAGTATCAGATGATGATAAAGAAGAAGAAAGAGGAATAGGAAAAGGAGAAATGGGAGTAGTATCTTTAGACGCTTGAGTCACAGTTGCTGGTGCACATAATGAAGATGACAATGGAGAAATGGATGACTTCTGTGAATGACTAGATACATCAACGTCTATATTAGCGTTACCATGACACCATGAAGAAATGCTAAGGTCTGTAGGATGCATATTATCACTTGAAGATGTAATATGTGGGTTAATATTATTCAAAGGATATGAATTTAGTTTTATGTGATTCTTTGAAAGGTAATTATCACTGTATGGTGGTAACAAGTTTTTATTATTATTAATACTTTGAAGATAATTAGGATTTATAACATTTGACTGAATATAATTGTTAGCTACCCATGATTCGATCGCTGATGATGTATTCATAAAATTATTCAAAGAAAACGTTGGTCCAATGCTTCCAGAAATATGAGTAGATGATGGATCAAAATCGGTTACAGATGTCTGTAATTTTGTTGTTCCTATCATCGATGATGGTAAAATAACCCCAGTTGATCTTGAAGAAATTATATCATCTGAATTACTATCATTTGTTGACTTATAGTCGACATTAACTTGACGTTTCCATTTATTACGACGATTTTGAAACCAAATTTTAACTTGAGTTTCAGTTAGTTGTAATGTTCTTGCCAAACCAACACGTTCAGAACTAGATAAATAACGTTTCAAAGCAAATGTTGATTCTAAGCGATAAACTTGATTTCTTGAAAATACAGTACGTGTTTTCTTTTTTCTTCGTAATAACTGAATAGACAATGATTTTGAATTAAAATCTTTTTTACAATCTATTTCATCATCTGTCCCAATGTTATTCAATTCATTTGCTACAATATAAGAAAAATATATTGTTCTATTCAAAGTTTGTATACACTTTATTTATCTTTGACCATTAGAATAATTATCTACTACAATGATAGCTACTCAATAACTCTTAGAAATCTAAAAGTTTAAAGTACATATACCTAGTTTAGACATTTTTAACGCTGATTGGATGACCTATTCAGTGTACAATGAATTGAAAAATCATGTACCTATTTATATTCGATAATTTTGATGTTTGATTATATTTCATTGAAAAAGCTTGGATCACATTGCCAAGCGAAACGTTGGATTTTCTTCAAATTCATTCGCTGAGATTTTGCAATTATATTATTCCTATTTAATGTTTTATATAGAAAATCACTAATTTAGTAATCCATTATTTTCGGAAGGGGGTTTTCTGTAGATTTTAGTAATTTTATATACTTGGTAGGTCCTGGGTTCGAATCTCGTGAGGCGGGATCGTGGATGCGCACTTCTGAGGAGTCTCACAATAGGACGAAACGGCCGTCCAGTGCGTCCAAGTTTTCCATGGTGGTCTAGCTTCAAGTGACTCATGAGTTAAACCATATAATAATCCATTATTCATTAATTAATCTCAATACGTATATTCTATCTTGGTTGATTTAGACTAAAGCGAAAATACTTGGTTTAGTATTTAATATGAACAAACAGTATTCACAGTATTCAATTGTCATTACATCTCAGTCCTACAGGAGGTTGGTCGCGACCCGAATGGCTCAGTGGTAACGTCTCTGACTGTGAAGCTGAGTGACGCGGGATCGAATCCGCCAGGGAGCATTAGTTCCCTCAGAATTACAGGTGCACCTTGCTGACGAGTGCCAAGTAGCACGAAACCCCGGTCCAGGGTTTCCTGTTGACCACCTCCAACCACCATCTTACCTCACAAACAGTATTCGTTTAACCAATAAACTAAACAACAATTAGCTTAATTATCAATGGGATCTTATTGTGAATAAGGTATTATGTGGAAGTATATATTATTTATTATCCAGAAACTAACAATTCTAATCTAGATACCATCCACAATAACTCATCTACGTTTAATATTTTCATTCATAACTGGAAATACATCGAGATATTTTAAGTTTTATAAATCTTAGTGGTATGTTTTGTTGTAGTTACTTCTTATTTACTAATCTAATGTCGATTACATGATAAACTTGACTCGAAATTTATATATTTAAACTGCTTTCTTATGGTGATGATGTACTACATAGTACGTTACAATTGCATGTTTTATTAGAATTATAGTTATAAATCGCGTATGCATATGAGTAAGTGGATGGACAAGTAAAAATCATACTTACCTTGATGATCAGTACCTAAGTCATCTGCATTTGGCCAAAAATTGTTCATTCGTAAATTGGGTGGCATAAGATCATCTGCCTTTGGACTACTTTCAATATCACTCATATCTTCATCAACATATTTGTCGATATTATCATTGCTACTATTAGCGGATATAGTATTTTTAATTTCTCTATCGATATTGTTCTTATTATTTTGCTGACAATTATATATACGACCTTCACATTCTTTTGGCGGAGTGTATAAGTGATTAGAAGAAGGAATTATTACTGGTGTTGTTATAGTTCCAGGATAGTTTGAACTATTCACTGTGTATAGTTGCATTTCATTTGACCAGTTCGATGTTGAATATTCAGTGGATAGACGACTATGAAAATTTAATAAATTCATAAAATTTGCTAGTTGATTATTATGACTATCGTTATTATTGATAAAACATTTGTTGTTAATTTCATTGATACTTTTGATATGATTTATACTATCACGTTCTGACATTGATTCATTCACAGTGAGATCATTATTTTTATTAAGTAATGATGAACTGGTATTTGGTATATTTACAAGATTATTTACTGTTGTAAACACTGGATTGATAATTTTATTCAATGTTATATCAATAGGTGTTGTATCGATTCGATTCGCGACATCTGGTAGACTACAGTTTTGTAACCATAATAAAAGATCATTATTACTAATACTGTGGTCATTAACCATAGTATTAGTAGTAGTCATTGTTGTTGTCGCTGGTAATGGTGATGGCGGTTGTACAGGAATAGAAGGGTTAGTAACAGTAGCAGTAGATATAGTAGTATTGTCAACAGGTTGGTTATGTAAAGTATTGTTACAAGTTATTTGTGTTGTGGCATCTAAGGATTTTTCATGATTTATTATGTCATTCAATAATGTAGTTGATATCATCTGTGATATGGATGGATCAGATTTTATGTTATTTAATTTATTGTTAATCATAAATGCTAACAACTCAAATAGATTAAACTGTGTTAAAGATTTTTCATTTTTCTCTGAATACATTTTCCTTATGAGATCGAGTAAAATGGTAGGATTTGTTGTTTCTGTTAACATTCTGTGCAACATTTCGATCGTATTAAAATATAATGACTTATCCATATTACTATGATCGATTAATTTAGTAGTAGTTGATGACGAATTTGATGATTGTAACGATGATGTGGTTGAAATCTTTATTTTACTTGGGTTGTTATTTATTGAAGTATTATTCATACAGTCAATATTATGATTCACTTCCTGAATAGTATCTGTTGGTGTAGATAGGTTTTTAACCTTTTGATTTGAGCAAAATGTTTCACACAATGCAATATTAGTTAAATTATCTATAATTAATGAAAATATAGAAGACAATAGAGTGACGTACAAGTTAAACAGTGAAATGATAAAAACTCATATGAATTTATGAATTTGGCATAATTTTACAATGTGTCCATGAATGAATAGTAATATTTCATTGAAATCAATACTGAACTTTGGCGGCCTGTTCGAATATCTGAGCTACCTATACCAGCCATCTAGATATTTCAACAAGCCATCTGCTTTTGCTTGTTTTGACACATCATTATTGTCTATTAATCGGATAACCTATTCAGGCTTGTTTATGTAACGTTCACGACCTTTCACCGTACAAGTAACAGTAAAGTACAATCAAAGATATCGTGGTGGCTGATAATATGAATTGCAAATATGTCAATTCCTGAAACTACTCACATCTAACTGGCGATCACCCAACATTTGTCATCAGGATCGATCAAGAAATATGAAAAGGAAACTTATTAAAATACTTTATGTCCTGACAATTTTATTTCGTACCAAAAATATAATATTGAATAAAGCTATTAATAATAATGATAATACTACTACGAATAATAAGTAAGATACTAATACACAGTAAAGATTGCAAATTTCAAACAATGTCCAACTAGCATACTATAATTTAGTCATCACTACGCCTATCTATTATGCTATCACACAAATACACATGCATTGTCATACGGTCTTTACGATCATGTTATGCATGCCATAACATTTTTCATACTAAAATAATTTTATTAGTTTCTCAATTATCTACACAAAACAAAAAACTTTACATCAAGTATCTGGAAACAAACAAAAAGAACAAACACTGATAAATAAATTCATTCTTTCGATGGTAGTCTTCATGAAAGCATAAAGTGAATTATTAGAAGGAGGTTTTGTGAAGATTTTAGTAATTTTTTATATAGTTGAAATCATGAATCACTTAAAGCTAGACTATCATAGTAAGCCTGGAAGTACTGGACGGCCGTTTCGTCCTTTTGTGAGGCTCCTCAGCAGTATGCATCCACAATTCCGCCTCGAGAGATTCGAACCCAGGTTAAGCGCTCGCTCCCGAGACTGATAGTTCTTGGGTTCAAATCTCGCGAGTTGGGATTGTGGATGCGCACTACTGAGCAGCCCCACAATAGGATGAAACGGCCGTCCAGTGCTTCCAGGTTTTCCATGGTGATCTAGCTTCAGTTGACTCACGATTTCAACTGTATAAAATGAATTATCAAACACACTTATCAATAAAGTATTTACCTACAAACAAGCCGATTTCAAAAATAAAATTGTTGAAGTACTTAAATACCATAATTTATTTTCACATGAAATTAAGAATGTTTATTAATTATTGTAGCTAACGTGTAGTTAGCAATATTAAGAATGATAATTAGAAAATATTAACTAATAATTAAGTAATATGATCTCAATAATACTAACAATCAATTTATATAAATGAATAGTCATATTTAGTTTTAATATTTAAGTAATGACAAGAGTTACGTAACATAGATTGGAAAAATAATAGGACTTGAAAATTACCAATGGAAATAGATGATAGTAATATTATAAACTGACTAAAATTTAACGATGTAAACGACTGGATTCCAACTTTCTCTTAAGTTCATGAAAGTTTTAAGTTTGTTCCATGATGAGATTATAAATGATCAAAGTTGAAGAATCCCATTCCAGAACAAAACATCTATCTAATACTTTCTAGTTTCTAATGATTAATTAGCTAAAATCCCTATGTGATGAGAAAAAAATTTTGTATATTCCCTATTCACCACAGTTCTCTCTTTCTACTCCTACTCCGAAATTATATTTTAAAAATATCTTGTTATATTGAATCGATGTAAGAGAAAATTAGATTTACTCAAGTAAAGTATTTGTAATTTACAAACAGTGGTTAATAGCTTATATACTAATTATATGAACATTCTAAGCTCAATTGATTTGATTCTACCAGTCAACCATTTTTTGTTTTTGATGGAGTTTTGTTCTTTCAGCTGGATGGTATGGTCGTGGAACTTTCATCATTCTTTCCAACGACATCATAAGCACAAACGTCTAGTAGAAGTCTACCTGATGAAAGCTCCACGACCAAACCATCTAGCTCAGAGGACCAAACTTCATCGAAATCATTCACCTGAGTTACAAATCTTCTCCACCATCTCGAAATCACAAATGTACATAAATTCTGAATGTGATAACTCATTGAAAACATTGTTAGATAACATGGTTTCATAAACTATAAAAAAGGCTTGTTCAAGAACTGAAAATTTAAATAAATAGTGATATTAACGTAAACCAAAGAATTAATGACATTATTATTTGTACAACCTTGTTACATCTTGTCTTGGAAATACTACAAAATGTTTGTTTATGGATTAAATTCTACCGCAGTACGGTTGAAAACTAGTAAGTACTAAATAGATATTGGTTTGAATTTTTTCATCAGTTCCTTCACATGAAATTACATCAGTTGTAATATTTCACCAATTTGTTCTATGCCTCTTGATAAATTGTAATGCATATTTGCTCTCGATTTTATGACGCAGCCGATAATATGTGTAACAAGATTTAACGGTTAAAGAAAAAAGAATACTAATCTGAAAAGTAAGAAATCATTAAATCATAGAGATAATTTGTGGCTACAGTGTCGTATCACCGGTTTCTTCAATCTCACATCACAAGATAACATTGAACCCGTCGTCTAATAGTGCGCCATCCAGGTATTTGATACTTCACACTCCATCGAGAAACGTTCTTAATAAATATAACATTTTAGTTTTATAAATTCTATCTATTTCAATAATTAATTAGAGCAATTAAAATCCACTACATTTTACGAACATTTTATGGATTTGGCTAAATTTACAGAAGTTCCACTTAAGTAGTATGTTATTCTAATCACGAATTGTTGTGAATTAGATTACCAATGAACATGTTATAGTTCTAAACACATTGTTCATTACAGTTCTATGATTTTCAATAGTGTAGGCGGCTAATTCATCAAGACACTCAAATCTACTTTAATCACTATATAATGAATGGTGTACAGTTGTTTCTATAAATAGTATTATTTAAAGAGATATAAGCTAGAGCGGTATTCGTGACTGTTTACTACTGAAGTCTTATTTTTATTTATTTATTTAAACACATAAATATTGGTACAATGAAGCACCAGATAAATATGCGCCTCACAAATCTCATTCGATTTGTGTGAGGGCTGTGATACTGCCCAGGTTCCCAGACTGAAGCAGGTGGTTTTCTTAGGGGCCCACACCCGGAGCCTTTGACCAAAAGGTCTGATCCACAAGGCAGTGGAGCATCGTGAGGAGATGCAGTCTCATGGTAGCCGGTGATCAACGGTTGATTCGTACGCCATTTGTTCCCTCGAGATACTGGAGCCCATGTGCACCATTGGTTTGGAATCAGGGTTTTCCAACTCCCCTAGGTGGACCCTCCGTGTCCACCAACCCGGTTAAAGTGCCGGACATTCGCTTTTCGTCCTCTCACTTTCGCAAACAACACCCCCACCACGAGAAGGCAGTGAGTAGGACTTCCCTGGCAGAGGCTATATATTCGTTGGCCATATGAGAGTATTTCGAGAGGGAGAGGTGACTCTCCCAACTCTCGGACGTACCAGGGCAATAATGAATTATATATCTAATGTTTACTCAATTTTTAATAGTTCAGCAAATAGCTTTGGTGCTTGATGAAAATTAATTTAGAGAGTCACGATAACAACAACTACTTAAAAGAAATTTTTGTAAGTTGGTATGAACAGACTTTGCAAACACTGTTACCGACCACATATATGAATGATGTAAGTCACACTTTTAACAAATGACAAAAGTTAGCTCTAAACTGAACTAATCTTCACAAACCTCACCCTTGGTAATAACTCCATGTTTACCGGTGGCTGGTTTTCAGATGAATTCCATGGGTTCTAGTGAAAAATCAACCACACAGGGCGTGAAGCAATTACCCACCGATACATCCCACTATTACAAATTGACTGGACTATAAACTACAGACCGATTAATTCCAACCACCTAATCTAAAGGTCATATATTTTCCATGAGACTTGGAGGTGTTGAGTAGGATCCTGTAGTAGGAACTCTTGGCCGATCAGATCCAAACTGCGATGAAATTACAGTCCAGCTCTCCATGATTTTCACCAGTTCTCCTGTCAATTTTATTCTGTTAGGCAATCTGTTATTAAGTTAAACTCATTTCTATAAACTGCATATCATGATTTTACTTCAGCCAGTTAACAGTATTTATTTATTACTGAATCACAGTAATTTTTTACGTATAAAGTTCTATAACTTCATTTGTTAAATGCTGTCAGTTATAATTCTACTTAAGTGTGAGTATACATACTGAAGTTAGCTAGTATTATCTGAAACCCATTCAACAGAACTAATAGTATTAGTAAATAAAATTTAAAAAAACTGAAATTACCAAAGATTTTTATAAGCCATCCGATATCAGATATAATGGGTTAATAAACATGATCAGTAAAGTTCCAGTCATTATGGAAGAATAAACAATATTATACTGATGTTTGGTCTTTAATAATGAAAACATAAATTATCCATACTAGTAAAAATCCATTCATGTTAATCTCTACTTAATTACATGAATGCAATCAGTATTCAGTCAACTGGAGGATATGGTTCAACTACCTAATTGTCATGAATAATTATCTGTGGCCAATTATAGAAACATTACCAAAGTTTAGAGAAATAATCATCGTTATCAACAATCAGATTGGTCATTTCTAATGCAGTATGAACATACGTTTGATGTAATTTGTATGTCGTGTTTTTTTATCAAACTCAAACCAGAAAAAAACTTTTAAGTTAAAAAAAATGCTTGTACATGATATAATGAAATAGATTTCATCTTTTATTATGATCAAGATCACTGAAAAGATAGCAAATATTCGTAGCCCAGATTGTGTCATATTCTCTAATCTGGATGGTTTACTCTCGAAGCTTTCACTATAGGTAGGGAAGTTAGAACATATTTCACGTAGAAAAATCAATTCAATGTGTTACATTATCGTCTTATTAAATATATTACCATAGTAAACCAAAAGAATATATATATGTATATACATGTGTAAATCTTTTGAACTGAAACAAAACATATCCGTAATACTTCTAGGTGATAATAGACTTGCTAGCCACCATACCTCTTTGCTTACAATGCTTGTGAATTAAGGCTATATTGAGGCAACACGCAAAGTATCCAAATATGCCAATAAGAGACTGATCAATTGCAGTCCTAAACGTCAACGGGAAGATTCAACCAAACAATACTGAGTGAATTTAAGCTTCATCCCATTGCACAAGCAAGTGACTATCACGACTAAGTAGCTGAGTAGATAACGTGATGGTGTTTGAAACAAACAGTACTGGGATCGAGTCTCAGAGTGAACAACTCTAAGATGCAGATACATCCAGCCGATATGTCCCAAATAGGACAAAACGCGCCTCCTGGATTCCACTACTAGCCACTATCCATCTTTGCTTATGAATACAGACTTTGTTTTAAAAATAATTTATGTTCAATAAAATTCTATTCAACTTTCAAGTTACGAATTATTGCTCCTTACAAAAACCTCTAATACATTGTCATTATCATTCAAAAATTGATTACGATAATAAAATAAGTTTAAGCAATGAAATAAAACTAAAAGAAAATATAATGACGATAATAATAGTTGATAAAACCCACTGCAATTTAACTTACCATCAATCTTTTCAATTGTATCCAATTGATTATTGTCAGTGTTAAGTTCTTCAGTCATATTATTACCATTATTATTATTATCTAATAAACATATTTGTGAATCCAGTATAGATGTTATTGAAAAATGTGATGATTGTAGATTAAGACTATTTGAAGTAACAGTTTCCATAAGGTATAATATAATAATTAGTCACTATGTTACCGTTAATTGTTTAAAATAAATATTATAATGATATTAAATGGTTAATGACATTTAATCCTGTCTATCATCAAATGATCAGAACAAAAATATTATCGAATAAGGAAGATTAAAAAAAAATTCTATTGTGTCCGTTAGTATATGGGTGTTAAACTAAAGGGTTAAAGGGTTGGATATTCATGTCTACTATAAAATTATAAGAAATTACTTTAGTTACCTTAAGAAATAGGAATGAAATTATTTCTTCAACCCAAAAAAAATCTTCATTTTATAAACCAATAAATCAAAATTGTTTTAATATAGGTTTATGTTAATTTGTCTTTCTCCCCTAAGTCTAATTCTTTTCTTTTTTTAAAAAAAGGGGGGTTAGGAATCTTCGTTTACCTATACATACATGGTAATACATACATTCATTATATGAATAGTATTCATCCTAAATGGTTAAACCTAGGTAGGGATTTTCTTTCTCCATTAAACATTAGTATGTATACATACATACATATATATATACACTACAAACACTAAACGACTATCTACAAATCAAATAATTTTCTCTACAGAAATTAGCATTCACTTCTGTTTTTTTTTAAATTATTTATCCAATCAAAATCAAACGTTTTCTTCCATTCATTCAAATAAAGGATCACATAAGTAACTTCAAGGGAAATAAATCTATTTCTTTAAATGAATTTATATATTTTAACTAAATAAAATGTTTTAGGGGAAATTGAATATAAGGTAAATGTTAATTTTGTTCATTAAATCCAATTAAAAAGCTTAAAAATCAATCGGATTGAGGTATATTTGGTTAACGAGTATCATATAAATTGAAATGAGCTTGTTAGATTCTACTGTTAACTAATATTAAACCTTAATAAAACTTGTAATCACACGATAATATCGAGACAATACTCTCGGGATACATATATGCTAAAAGAGACGAAACGAGTGAAGCTATTAATATCAACAATGAGAAAACTCAAACCCTTATAATAATGGAAATAATTATCTGTAAATTTTTCAAAGAATATGTAATATATATCCACAAGAAGAGGACATATGAAATTTTTGACATGTCCTCAACTGATTTTCACTAATGGATGAGTGAAAATTCGGCAACAAAACAATGGGGTTCTTCTAAATTTTCGTGCTCCTATCTACCCTCCTTTCGTTCAGAGTTGTTTTTTAGGTAATTAGTAGTGTACTTTTAAAAAAAGCTACAAATTGATTGTGTAATTGATGAAATTATAAACCAGTAATATTCATCGAAATGTATTGTGAAGTGATTAATAAATCTTAAAAATGGCTGTAATCATGGACTGACAATATCATTTGAAACACTTAAAACTTGAAAATTCTACACAGCTATTTCGCCCTCGTTTGAAACTTTACATGAGTATGTTCACACGAATTTCCGATATTTTTTGAGTTCACAATAATTTTAAACCACTGGGTGATCATCCATGTGTCAGTATTTTAGACTTCAGTTAGTTCGTTACTTTTTTATCGGCATCTAACATGCGAAACGAGTTACTTGATACTTTCCACTTATCTTTAAATAAAATAATTTAATACTGAGATTCTGATCAAAGTTCAATGACTTTAGTGAGTTTTTCAGTTAGAAAGCAGGTCTTTTCACAAACCGGATAGTATAAGATACTGAAAAAGGTATTACAATGCGAGCTACTAAAAATTAATGAGATCATGCATTGAGCATTTAAGTAATGAGGATAACGTTATAGAAGTTAACTAGCTTTCCACAGTACCCTTTAACACAAGAAAACTATTCATACCGTTCAAAACTTGATCATTCGTAAAAGCTGTTACATGTAACAATTATTTAAGAGGTATTTTACAATAGTTGTTTATATTTTATCAGTAATTTGAAGTTATCTAGATTTTCTTGATTTATCCAAAGTGTTCTAAGCCATCACTAAATGAACGAAGGGAAACATACAAAATTCCTTAATTTTTTCCCATCTATTTCCTCTTCAAAAATATATGGTTACAATTAATTTTATGTTTAATTACAGTCTCAATATTAAAATTTAAGGATAATTGTCATATTACAACACTTATCAACTATCCCAATCCAATAATTAACTATGTTTCTCATTAGAACAATGCACTGATTAGTGTCATCAAAAGATCAATCATCATCAATAAAACTAGATTTTTCTTTTAAACAACAGATTCAGTTCTTAAAGGTTAACATTTTGTGAACTTTAATCAAATTTTTTAAAAAAAAAACTATATTAATGAAATAAATAAATATTCTATTTTATTATTATTCTTAGCAACAATAATATAGTTAGTTACATTAGAAAACCATGACAACAAATACCATAATGAACTTTTCTATAAATATCTTTAAAAAAATTTATCTATTAAAAGAAATCAAATTGTAAATAAAAATGTCTAGTTAATTGGTCAGTTTTTTTTTCAAAAAAAAGAAAAACAAAAACGAAAAGAAAATCACATAAAGCAAATAAGTAGAACTCATTTTAACATACAAACGATGTATAAATCATGTGAATAATATAAGCATATTATTATTATTGATAAATTACCTAAAGTGAAATTAGTATGTTAAATAAACGAAAGAAATTAATTAGAATATAACAGAATCAGTTTTTATTTAAACATACAAGTTATATTATATACATTTAGTTATTTGGTTATGTTTACTTATATAGTAATATAGATTGTGAATGAATTTAAACTTCACCCCATTACATTAACAAGTGACTATCAGGACTCAGTAGCTGAGTGGATAACGTAAAGGTGTTTGAAGCGAAAGGTACTGGGTTCGAGTTCCAGAGTGGAAATCAACTCAGATGCAGGTACATCCAGCTGACGAGTCACCAATAGGACAAAATTCACCTCCTGGATTCTACTGCTAGCCACTATCTAAACATACAAGTTATATATATATATGGTTATTCGGTAGTTTACTTATAGAGTAGTATAGATCATAAGTCAGTAAGTGAATGACTGGTTGAGTTAGTCAATTAGTTAATGAGTAGAATAAACTCACAAGCATATCATGAAAGAGACTTACCATAAATAAATAAACAGGAATTACAAATCATTAGGGAAATGGTTGAATAAAAAAGAGTATAGTAAATGTATATTTATTATCATCAATTTTACAGACAAATCTATTTTGTTAACCGTCAACATTTTAATAGTAATTAAGTAGATGAAAAGTTACATTTGTAGTCAACGAGAATACAAGTGGAGACAATCGAATGTGTTTGAATACTAAATTAAATCATGTCTCAGTAAAATCTAAGATCCATACAGTAAATACTTAATTTGCGAAATGTCAATTACTTATCTCGAACTTGACTATCTCTTTTATAAATATCAGTCAATGGTCTCACACTTCATTGTTCTCATGATTCCATACCAATCATTCATCCTTCCTTTTCTTTTTTCTTTGATCTTCTTAACCTTATGCCTCCAAGTATTTCAGTTTCCATGGATGATACATACTACTTATATCAGTCGAAATCAGTAGCACACATATAACACAATAATTATCACTGTCATACTAACATTACTACTAATACTAATCATAAGAAAAATCATAAATAACTCAATAACCTGTATACATACATCCATACAACACGCATTTATTATTAATAAATCTATTCTTATAATGTCCATTTTTTTTTATCTCTAAAAGTTCTTTCAATGAAGCAGTTATTCATAAGAGTTAAGAAAGAGAAGAAAACAACAATAACAACACAAGAGTTAATAGTTCTAACAGGACTATTATCATTACTATAAATATAAATAAAATTAAAAATTCCGGTTACTAATAAAACATAATGGTTATAAGAATAAACACTAAAATATTAACTAATTAATTAAATAGGATTTCATGTTTATTTTTGTGTTTTTTTTCAAAATTTTCTAAATATGATCAATAAAACTGATTTCTTGTCAAAATAAATAAACAAACAAACAAAAAGGACAACCACTTAGTTTATGGTAAACTTGATTTTCTTTAATGAAGATAAACTAGTGTAAGTAGTACCCATTATTCTGTCCTTTTAATCTAGTCTTATTTAGAAAAAAAATGAATTAAATTAGGGGGTAAAAATATAAAAAAAAGAGACAAGTATAAAATTAAAAAGTGAACCATTTGATATCTAGTTTTAATGGATACAATTAAATCTATGATACTTTTCAATTTTGATTTCTTTTTTATAAGAAGGGGGGTTTTTGTGGAGATTCTAGTAATTTTATATAGTTGAAATCATAAGCCAATTGAAGCTAAACTACCATGGAAAACCGTCCAGCAGTTCAGTGTTTCTTTTTTTTATTGTTAAGTTAAATAAATCTACTTTTATTATTTAAAAAAGTAAAGTATTAAAATGGAAGAAAAATAGATACATAGAATATATACTGATAATTATTATCAAGAATAGATTGAATAAATGAGAAGAATAAATTGGCAGATGTTTATTTCCTAAGAATAATTTGTTGTATAAGAATAACTTAATATAACATTTGATTGTTATTACCCCGTTGTTTATAGGGTAATACAAAGTCTGGTTTACTGGTTAAATGAATTTAGTACTAAAGGTGATAACTTGTTCGACGTTGGAAGTGGAAAGTATTGAGCTCGAATGTGAATAATATTAGTGAAAGGCAGGTACATTCAATGGCACATTCCTAGACCTCGCTTCCAATATCAATCAATTTATTTTAATTCAGCGTTATTTTAAGTAGAGTAAAGTGATATAGCATCATTCAAAGAGTAATAGTTATTGTAGTCAACATTTACATCATTAAGAACAATTAAATATAAATGGTATTTACACAGGTCTATATTATTGAGAAATGAGGAGGACTGAACAACTTTCTTGGTACTGTTGAGGATCGGTAATTAGTTTTAAAGAGATAGAACTCAGAGCTTTCAAGTTTTGCAGTTAAGTTGTTTGAAATTCAACAGTTCA